TCTTCTTCTTCTTCTTCTTCTTCTTCTTCTTCTTCTTCTTCTTCTTCTTCTTCTTCTTCTTCTTCTTCTTCTTCTTCTTCTTCTTCTTCTTCTTCTCCTTCTCCTTCTCCTTCTCCTTCTCCTTCTCCTTCTCCTTCTCCTTCTCCTTCTCCTTCTCCTTCTCCTTCTCCTTCTCCTTCTCCTTCTCCTTCTCCTTCTCTTTCTCTTTCTCTTTCTCCTTCTCCTTCTCCTCCTTCTTCTCCTTCTCCTTCTCCTTCTTCTCCTCCTCCTCCTCCCCCCCTTCCCCCTCCTCCTGTTCCTCCTCCTCCTCCTCCTTTTTTAATTTTTTTTTTCCCCTTTAAACTTTACTGGATAACCATACTTGCTTCTGACTTTTTTAAAGTTTCCAGAACTGTTTTTTGACTGAAATTAACAGGATTAGCTAAACTAAGAAAATTTAATGTCACCCAAAATAATGGGATTTCTTTACACCAATTGAATATTTTTGAATCAAAATTCTTCATAAGCATGCCAGAGTTTTACCTGTCAGTCAGCTCTGGAGAACATGAATTGTATATCTGAGAGGTTTTTCCCATTCTATTTAGATAACCTTCTAACTCATGTTGATTGTTCTGTAGACCTTAGGTAAAGGCTGACTTAGAGAGAAGAAAGCCTTTAGGATTAATTCCATCACCATAAACACACTGGTTCAGCCTTAGGAAAGTTAGTCTTTCACTTTCACTTTTATCTTTGATATTTAATATTAAACAATGACATAAACAAAATGTATGTTAAACATAATACACATTTGAACATTTCATTCAGATGGTAATGATGACTATTCCAAGAGAGGAAAGAAAAGCAGACGGAGAAAAAAGAGCCACACACTGATGATGCCTAATATGATACCTAATATGATGCCTAATATGATACTCCTAAATGTAGGCCAAAGAGGAAGATAGACCTATTTTACATGTTGTTGGAGATTCGTCTAGGCATTTTCAATGTTTAATAAATAGATGAAATTTATTATGGTTGCTATATGTCAATAGACATTTATAATTGAAATCCATGCCTAGAAATGTTTCCAATGAAGACTTATGTCAAAATGAATAGTATTGGAATTACATAACTTCTTAATAGTATATTTTTAAATGTAGCCCTGATTCAAGTCAGTGTTGACAATGGAAGTTCACTGAAAGTCTTTGGGTTAATTGTTCTCTCTCAGTCCAACTCAACCCACAAACTTGCTGTGGCACAAAAGCAATTTGAAGAGGGAATGCTGAGTTACAAATCTAACAAATAAAATAATTCTTCATCCATTTTGTGCAGGTAAATTCCAGCTTTCTCCAACAGTCAACATGCCCCAGGATGATATGATAATGATTGAAGATGACAGACTACCTGTACTACCTCCATATCTTTCAGACCAATCATCTTCCAGTTCTCATGATGACATAGGCTTTGCAACCATGGATGCTGGAGCTTGGAGTAAACCAATAGTGAATGAATCAGCAGAATGGTAAATGTTATGTTTACTTTAATAATTACTTTTTTTTTTACTAAATACTTCATTGGTTTCATCACTGAAATAGAAGAACTATTCTTCTAGACATCTATGGATATTCTCAATCATTCAAGTGATGGTTGTCTCAAAGTCCTTTTTCCAAAAGGCAACTGGACTTTTTCTCTTTGAAAACATTTCACTTCTCAACCAAGAAGTTGTTCAATTCTAAAGAAGAACACTCTTCCTATCTCTTCTCCCTTCAAGCCATCTAAGAACTTAAATGGGAAAAACAAATTTCATATTATTCTGGTATATGATCTCATATTAGCATTTTGGAGTGGGAGTAGCAATACTGTAGTTGCTGGGGTTTCTTTGTTATCTTACATAGGAGAAATACTTCCTGGTTTTTTAAGTCTTTTTTTTATATAATCTTTACTAATTGCAGAAACAGCAATAATTTGTATGTGTGGTAATTATGTTCAGCAATAAGCAAAATAAAAGGCCTTTCGATGGAACTCCTACTAGGTTTGTGGTGATAATTAACCCAAGCAGGTTGAAGTATAAGTGTTTTCCAAGTCTCATATCCTCCTGAGCTTGATATAACTGTGTCAGCAATATTTTAATAACTATTACCCACAGCGAGAATCTCTGTTTGGATTTGTACAAGTCAGCTATTCCTTACATACACATCTGTATGAATATGCAGTGGTTTTCAATCGTATTACTTTTACTCTTACCCTATCTTTGAAAAAGCTTTCAGTCGTTATGTTAAAAACTATTTCTTTCTCCATTACCTTGCTGTTTTCTATCATATTGCACTACTCCTACATTGACTTCTCAGATTCCCACCATTATCTTTCTAGAGCAAAATACCTAAAAACTAACTAACTGAGATTTTGGAAATGCATCTATGCATTTCAACAGCACTCCATATTTCATTCTGAGGGGAATTTTTTTAGAGTTGAAACCAGTTCTCCTACCATCTCCATTTGTTGATGCCATAGAATTTTATTTTACTTTTACATTTTACAAGCCCCCAATAGAAAAAGAAAGGATGAAAGGCTTACTTTTGTTCCTACAACTGTCTTTATGCCTGCCCTTTCAAAAGCTCAAAGAGAGTAATGCAATTACAAACATGATAGATCTGTTTGGATCCTTATTTCTGTTGACTGCATGCTATTTGTTAAAAATGTGCCCAGTAAAATAAAATAAACAGCAGCCAAGGGTGGTTTTTATATTAATTTCCTGTTGGTAATGGACAAAGGAAGGATTGTAAAATGAAGGTGTTTTCTGTGAGTTTGCTTCAAAGAACCAAGGGATTGATGTAAAGAAAATGGAAGAAGGGTTATCCAAACAAGAATGGCAGCTGTTCTGAATCATGGCTGAAAATATATGCTTTTTCCAGCCTGACAGTATCTCCCTAATCCTTGATGAAAATGTTATGAAAACAAGGGACAATGAGGCAGGATTAATATGTGGAATTTTAATAACACTGAGGGTCATGGCACGGTTACAGTCTTTAAAGAGTCAACTATCGTTGTAGGAACCTTCTTTGTTATAGTATATTGTGCTGCTTGTTCATTTTAAAAGTAATAAATATAAATAAATATAATAAAAATAACAATAGAGAGTGGCATTAACATAATCTGAAATATTAAGAACTATTAATGTGAGATGCTGTTTGGCTTTAATTCTAGGTTTTACAACAGGTTGTTAACCATTTTGGAATTGTCTTATTAAAATGCAATATAATACATTTTGTATAATTTCAGTATATCCTGAGCATGACATTTTATACATTTTCAGTCCACATCTATGGGATTCTTTTTTCTAGGGAGGACAGCCTGACAAGAGCAGATATGTTGTGAAAATAGGCAGAACCTGACTCTTTAAACTATATGTGTTGTGTCCCGTGCCTGCAGAAGCAGGCGCGGGAAGTTGCAAGAGTCCCGGGCATTTGTAAAAGCTGCCCGGGACCAGACTGACCGGCGCCGGCCTTGCGCGCATGCGCAAGGTGGGAAAGGACTACCTTGTGATTGGGGGGAATTGCCCGGGGATCGGAGAGTATAAATAGAGGCTTGCGCGCCTCTGGGGTCGTTGTCGTTGTTAGAGAGTGGAGAATACAATAAAGACTTGTTGGAGATGAATCGTCTCAAGCGCCATTATTCCCAGGACTTAACACTGGCGACGAAGGTGGGATACAGTCTCTACAGCTAAGAAAAGCTAGAAGACTCACCCAATGAAGTCCGGGAAAGAAACGGCGAAGAAGTCAGCGTTATCCGGCCAGTACGAAATCGCTGGAGGGTGCGTGCGGCTGCAGAAAACGACCCTGATCCTCGAACGATGTGAAAGTCAGCGTTATCCTGCCAGTACGAAATCGCTGGAGGGTGCGTGCGGCTACAGAGACGACCCTGATCCTCGACCAGGACTTTAGAGGCACACATTTCAACAGAGAGATCAGCGAGCTGGAGAAATCAACTGAGAGATCTGGAATTGGAGTGGCCAAGATTCGGCGGCCCACTCGGAGCGCTTCAGTGACTGCAACCATCCACACGAAGGTGGACAAGCGTTACCAAACAGCTGGGAGAAGGTCCAAGGATCATCAGGACAAGGGCCCAGCTGAGAGTCATTGCATCGGACGCGGTGGACGCCAAAAGCGTGCGGAAATAAAGGCTACATCGCTACGAGCTGCCTGGGTCGACTGAAGGAGTTTCTACTAGACTGCATGACTTGCCACGATACGGCGGTTCCTTCACACCCTTCTACCAAAGGTGGCGTCCATGGCGGGCGCAGCATTGTTTATTCTAGGGGGGAGGGGTGTTGTGTCCCGTGCCTGCAGTAGCAGGCGCGGGAAGTTGTAAGAGTCCCGGGCATTTGTAAAAGCTGCCCGGGACCAGACTGACCGGCGCCGGCCTTGCACGCATGCGCAAGGCGGGAAAGGACTACCTTGTGACTGGGGGGAATTGCCCGGGGATCGGAGAGTATAAATAGAGGCTTGCGCGCCTCTGGGGTCGTTGTTGTTGTTCAAGAGTGGAGAATACAATAAAGACTTGTTGGAGATGAATCGTCTCAAGCGCCATTATTCCCAGGACTTAACAATATGTATTTGTACTTATTACACTTCAGTTGAAAAATTAGCATAGCAGATATAATAGTGAAAACTAGTAGGATGATTGATTTGTCTATTTGTTCATTAAAATGATTTATTCCCTAGTAATCTATCTTGATGGTTTAATCCTTTTTAGTGGATTATCCTCTCTGACATTTTACAACCTTTTTACCACAGTTGTTAAGTGAATCACTGCAGTTTATTTATTTATTTATTTATTTATATTTAAACTTCTATGCCGCCCTTCTCCCCAGAGGGACTCAGGGCGGCTCACAGCATGTTAAAAAACAACACAAAAAAACATTTCCCCTATAAAACCAATTAAAAAGCAAATATATTAATGGCTGTGTCATATTTAAAATCTTTAAAAATTTTTAAAAATTATTCCCTATTTAA